TCTATAAGCTTGTTTTATTTGTATGTTACAATTAACAAAGGCCTTAAGTATTAATAAATCACTTTTTTTCCTCTCACAGCTTCTACCAAAATCTTGCTGCTAAATATAGAGCCTTCCCCACTTGCATCTAATCCCTGCACAGGTATATCCCCAAAACAACTTTTTTCTGCCAGCATCCTAATGATGGTGCCTTCATCTGGGCTCCAGCCTGTGACTGGCTTAAGTTAGGTTTAGCAGTATTGGCATAAAAATGTTTTCCCCTTTGGGTCAGCAGTGTCCAACAATGGTCACTAGGTGGGTAAAATCTGTTACTTTTCATCATCTATTACATCAGGGGCAAAGTCAGGTGACCAAAAGTGGGTAGGATCAGGAAGACCATTTATTGGCCATTTCAGGCTGATGTAAGTACACTCCCTCCCCGAGTCCCTGGTCAGTCTCATCTGCTACCATTCTGCTAATGGTGCTTTATCCAAATGATGCAGCACTGCTACACTGCTCAGTTGGCAAGTTGCAGGTGCTTTAATTCGATGGCCTTCTCTGGTTTTGTGTAACAGTGGAAAGGACAGGCCCAACCCTGTCCTGTTGCCTCCCAAACAGAACACAGAGCAATCTGAAAGTTGGCTTTTGAAGGCTGGAGGAATCAATAATCACACTCTGCATTCCATACATTACACACGCATAATCAGGACAGCACCATTAAGCAGTGATTCAGAACAAATGTAGTAGAGTCAGGACAGGGATCAGAAGTAGGGGCAGCAAAATGGCATAGTTTTCTGCCAACTCAAGGTTGGGCAGATAGCGCTGTAACTCACCAATGGAGAAAGGCCCATAGTTCATTCCTTAACTAGTATAACCATTGCTTAACTCTGAATGCAAGTATGTTGGTTTGCAAATGGTGTATGGCCTACTGGATTACTAATCGAAGCAGTGCCCTTCACTGCTGAAATCAGAAAGCCCCTGTTTTCTTTGGCTAGCTTGGCAAGATGTCTGTTTGTCCAGTTTGGTTTGTTTCATTCCAGGATCTGTAGAAATTTGGAATGTATGTTCAGTAAGAGGTGTGTAGAGAAGACTTCCTCAGATATTGGGTAAAAGCATTGTTGAAAATAACACTGTAAATGTTGCAAGCACTAGCTGATGAAACATTTGGGCTCTTGTTCCTTTTTTGCCCATCAGTGAGTTTTGAGTACCAATCAATTATGTCCGCTTATTTCACCAATCATCTATGTCTGCTTATTACAGCTATCTGGTACTTTCCCTCCTACCAAATGGGTTAGGATGATCAATCAATGGTTGATAGTTACCTCTATGAATCTATGTACCCACACCACAATCACAGCAAGGATATCACACCAGTTGATTACATCTGCGGTGGGCAAAAACCTTTCGGATATGAGATTTTAACACTAGTGGCAGGCAAAAATGAACAGGAGCCAAAGTTTATACCAGCAACCATAACTCTACATGTGTATTATGTCAGCCATTTATGAAACATTCATGGCTTCAGAAGAAGAGAAAAACGAGTGCTCTTCCAGCTAACAAGCACCTGCAGGCAATTTGTAACAGATTAGTAATTATGTTTTGCATATTTACTGCTTCACCTACTAGTCTGTGAAAAAGTATTTGTCTCCTATGGTTCCTTGATTTTTTGCATATCGTTGCCACTGAGTTTCATCAGAGCTTTATGTGGGTCATGCTGAAATATAAAGGAAGTTTGAGTAAATAAGTAATGCTAGGTCTGATGGTAAGCAAAAAAGTGGTTTGCAATGCATCCTAGTAACATTGGAAGGACTTTAGAAGTGGGAAAATGAGAAAAGTGGGACAATATATCTTTATAAAATACACAATAAGCTTAGGAATACATGTTCTGTTTGCAAGAGTGAACTCTCACATGATATGGAATGATTGTGTTTTTCCCAAATATAAGCACTGAGAGCAAGGCATTGTATCTTACTAATGAGAAGGCCATTCTATAACTTTGAATTGATATATTAAATAAATGATCTGTTGGCTTCAAAGAGCAATTGATTCAATTCAAATTACAATCACTTGTAATCAGTGAAATATCCAATTGGTGGTCCATATCCTTTATTTCCTGCTTAGCAGGGACTCTGGCACTCCTTAATCCTGGTACCAAGACGGTCTTCTGGAGAGAAACCATACAATTAAGGTGGTTGGAGAAAATAGGAATCTGTCAGTATAACAGAGCCAAATACAGGAGGGATAAATTCAGTTTTAGCCAATAATTAAAAGAATGTGATCCAGACCTAATCTCAGTCTTCAGAAATCCAGGCTCACAGAATAATGTTAGGAATTTGAAAAATTGCCCTTAGTTATTTTGATTGAAGTAATTTCAAGAGGTTATAAATTGGAATATGTCACAGTACTGTGTGTAAAAATTATGCTGTGGTTTTTGCTTTAAAAAGTTGTAAGGCTGCTGGATAAAAGTGGGTACCTTCTGAGTGAAAGAAGCCCAGAACTAACACTGGTATCAATTATCACCAAAATTACCACCAGTGCTACTGCACTGTGCACTTTGGGCTATGAGCTTAGCAATGCTGTCTGTGGGACCTAGGACTGTGGAAAACAATACCAAATTATTATTAATTAATATACATAGGGGTGGAAGGAAAATCCCCAACAGTGTCCCTTTTAGTTTAAAAGGCATGTGACTACAAGCCTGCATCACTTCGGGAAAAAAAAATCCCAACGATCCTCTGAAACATTTTCTTCAATTAATATCTGTTTCTGTACTCCTCTATCTCACTGTTACAGTAGAAAATCTTGCTAGTCCATGTTAAATATATTTCAGTAGTTCTGTCCATCAAATAAATGCATGAGTGAGACATTGGTGGCCAAAGTCTATTGAATATGAGAGGTACCATATTGGGAAAGGGTGTTTAAGGATATACTGGGAAGACTGTAAAGGGGAGGGGAAGAATTGATATTTTCTCATAGACTCTTGTCTTTTTTTCAGCACTTCCTTTCTGCGGATGTCCCAACCAAGCCATATTTGGTCCCAGAGAGAGAAGTTTCCATGTAGTAGAACTCTAACTACTCTACTACCTGCTTCATCTTCAGACAGTGATTCTGGCTGCGCCCTGGAAGATTATCCAGGTCCAGCCACCGAATTTCCTCCATCAGAGCCAGTAAGACTTTCAGCTCTACATTTCTGTCTGATATGTTCTTTCTGGTACATGACAATTAAAGGAAAAATCTCCCTCAAGTCAGGTGTGACTCCTGGTGACTACATGCACAAGCCCATTTTGTCTTTTTCCAACAATATGGTTTGCCACTGCCTTATTCCAGGGTTTTTCCCCCACTCAGTTTCAACCTAGTTTAAAGTCATGGGATTTTATTGTGGTTTCCTATCTAAGTATTAACAAGGTTCAACCCTGCTTAGATTTTTCCAGATCAGCTAGTGAACACTGCTTTAATTTGACAAGTCACCTGGAGCTGTAACAATAGCAAGGTTGGCAACAATGTGTTCGCTGCCCTCTGGCTCTGGGTCCAAACCCATAACACCCAAATCTGTGTAAATATCAGTATTTGCACACATGGCTTTTTCTTGTCGTCAAGCTTGACTCCAGGGAAAGAAAAGAATTTGAAAACAGGCGGATTGTAAGCAGTAGATTGAACGTAGGTCCTGTGTTTCACTTGAAGATGTAAAATCTCTGGCAATTTTGAAGCAGTGGGGAAAAAAACAAAGATCCCCTTTCCATTTTTGAGAGGGAAACAGTAATTGGAAGGAAAATTGAAATATGTGTAATATTTATATCCTTTATAGATATAAAACAATTTTATTGCTCTATAAAATGTATTATGTATAATTTGATTTGTTTATTAAAGCTAATTAAAGGACTGAGAAAGACAGACTACTCATAATTTCCAGAATTATTAAATGCTGTCTAATCAGTCTCCTTTTCTAAATTTGAAATTATCAGCATTTTCTACTTCTGATGCTTCATCATTTTCATAGACTCAGAAAACCATACTGAGAAAACTTTCACTATGCCCTTTTATGTTCACTTATTTCTTAATTTGCTATATTTCCAAATATAAATCAGTTTCTTTCACAACCTAATAATTTTATCATATAAATGAAATAGATTTTTTTCAGTATTTTTAATTTCCAGAGGAAAAAAGCTGTGGAAAAATGCAGGAAACAAAGGAAAATGTTTTTAAAATCACCTTCCCCCACTTTTTCTGTTCTTTTGGTGGGGAGACTTTCAATCTCAAGTTTTGCTGCTTGACCAAGTTCATATGTAGGAGGACAGGTTTAGCCTTTGTCAAACTTTTTTCTTGGTTTATGTGCTATAAACAGAAGATAAATCAGCTCTCCTCTTTCTGTTGGTTTATTTTCATTAGCCCTTCATCTCTTAATGTGGGGAGGACCTCAGATTCTTTATTGAACTTAGAGAAGATGATCTGTAGAGAGATGATAGCGCAGATAGCTCTTTCCCCAATACATGGAAATATCACTGTGTCACTTCCATTTCATTACTTTTACAGGTATTGCAAAGCATTAGCTCTCATTCATCACCTACGGTCCCTGCTGCTATTCAGAACCAGCTCCGTATCAAAATTCTCCTCTATCAGCTGCCTCCACAAGACTGCGATGTATGGTTCTTGAAGCCTTACCCAGGGATTGCTGGGTCTTTTTTCCTCGTGCATAGCTTGATTGAAGAGTCCTGCTAAAACTATTTTCTTGTGCCCCTTATTTGCACTGATACATTTCTTTGGCTGTCCCTTCATTCTTTTCAAGCTCTAGCCAGGCAGCTCTATGATTATTCCACAGTTACTATGAAAAATCCTGTTTAGGTCCAATGATTTGCATAAATATAAGAGTATAACATTGGTTTTGATTCAGAAATGCTTCTGCATCTTTCTAAAAAACAGCAATAGGAAAAGCCCTTCCTTCCTTCCTTCCTTCCTTCCTTTCCTCCCGTACAAAAGGTAACAAAACAAATGCAGTAACTTGGTTGCTCAGGTGCCTGTGGGGGCAGAGATGGGACAGGTGATAAAATGTGCATGGTAACACAAACTTTATCCTTGATGTCCTTACATGAAACATTTCAATGCAAGTACAAAAGTGCAGAGCTGCATTGCAAAGTCATGATGGCATTGTCATTTTGGCATCACTGTGGTTAGGAACAGGTACCTTTGTACAGCCCCTGCTGTTTGCACCAGAGTCCTACTGTTATATGGATTACCAAACTTGCTTGCAATAAATGTTCCCATGAAGGTGGTCTAGGACACCCCAGTCAGGAAGCTAGCTGAGGATTTTATTGCTGTTCCCAAGAACTAAACAACCAGGAGATTTGTGGCCCCACTGAAGTAAAGGTAGAGCAAGTGTCTCTTTCTTTCTATGGAATGCACGATCTTTACAAATATCTGTAACCGCTCTTGAGTTCACGTCCACTGTGTAGTAGCCTGCTTTGATTAAAGCTATTTCTGCAATGCTGCTGTAGTGACCTAGCCAAGCCCTAGTACTTTCTTCCCCAATCTGGTACCCTCCATATGTGCAGGACTAACTCCCACATTAATGTTGAAGTTAGTGTCCAGCAGTTAAAGAGATTACCAAGTTGAGACAGACTGCCCAAGCTTTTTAAAATTTTGCTTTCAAATGACATGTATTGGACAAAAATAGGAGAAAAGTCAAGCTGTAATCCTGTGCCTACTTAGGAATCAGTCACATTGGACACAGTAGAGGATTTCTTCTGAGTAGATATGCATAAAATTCCAGGATCACATTAGAGAAAAATTGCTAAGAGGGACACTGGTATAGAAATGAGTTGCCAACTAAGTATAGCATTGGGATTTATTGTTAACATTTACATGATACAGTATTTATTAATAAGATAATACCCATATATGGTAAGATCTTTATTTAAATATTTATAAGCCAATTTTTTGAACCAAGCCCACCGAAGGCATCAAATAAAATGCAAATGTGAAAATAAAATGATGTAATTATAATAAAACTTCAAAAATATTTGCAAGTTGATCAGCACCTGTCTCTGTTTTGTGCCTGCATCTCAAATAAACATATTTATCTGGAGGCTTCTTTTGGATCTTAACACCATTTCTGTTTTTTTATTTAAGGAGAGATATTGTCCATCCATTGGTGAAGAGGAAAGAAAACAACTGCGCACCTTTGCTGCATGGCGGCGACAGGAATCCCTGGGACAGGGAGTTTTATGTCATCTGCCTCTCACAGCTCATGAGTACTTATGCAGAAATGTGAGCTATTCTTACCATGATGTTGGACATATCAAGGAGGTGTCTGGGGCTGATCTCTAGCATTGCTTTCCCTGCTTAGTATGATCTTTGCAGTCATACTAACTTTGGACATGCTAACAGGCACAGGTAGAAGTTGTAGGTCCTTATATCTGAGAAAGTATATTTGAAAAAGAGATATGCAATCTTTATTAAAATCTTAGAAATGCAAGAGATGGCTGTATGGTATTTGTAGTGGTTGGAGGGACAGGATTTATTTTGTTGCCTCCTCTATTATCAAAACCAATATACATTAGACAAAACTACAAACACTATAGAACTATACACAGAAAGAACAGCTATGCAAACAGGTGTAAATTGCTAATACTGCAGTATTATTGCCTGGGTAAACTTATTTGATTTTAATTATTGAAGTGGAGCATGCATAGCAGTTGTAATAGTTTACAGAAGGAAGAAACGTATAATTAAGCCTCTTAGATAAAGAAATTATCTCTGCTTGATTTTTAGTGTGGTAAGACTATAATCAGAGGAGACCGGAGTGTATTTGCCTCTAAGCTGGGCGACCAGTGCTGGTGGCATCCTGCCTGCTTTGTCTGTCACATTTGCCGCCAACCTTTAATAGATCTAATTTACTTCCATCGAGATGAGAAGATTTTTTGTGGTCGGCACCATGCAGAATTTTTCCGCCCTCGCTGTGCTTCATGTGATCAGGTAGGCATATGTAGTGATGTTTGTGCTCTTGTAACTAAATCAGCTTATATATTGAACATGGCCATTTCCAAATCCAGATTTATAGACTTCAGCTGCAATCTTGTTACCCATGGGAGAGGATTTGGGATATCATGGGATTTTTTAAATATCTTCCATCATAATTGGAGAGCTTTGATTTTGGAGATCTAACCATATATATCTCTCCTAGCCTCTGTACAAATACCTAAATTTGCTTCCCTTCAATTTTCTGGCCTTGCAATTGGGAATAGGGAAGAGAATTAGGTACATGGCATAGGAAGATAAAACATTTTGAATCTGCAGAAACCAAAGAAAATGTGTTGTTAGTGGAGTTTCCGAATTCTTAAGTGTTGCTGGCTAGCGATGATTATCATAGAAACATCAAAATAAAGCAGGCAAAAGTAAATTAATTTAACATGATTTCAAGCCTGATAACTTTGGGAAATTTTAAAGAACAGATTATGATCTGTCTGAGGTACATCAAGAGGACATTGTCAGTTGACTAAATATGGTGTATTTTGAAGCAGAAAGCTTGATTTATAGGATAGGGTCACTGCAAAGGGTTGAGTAAATGATGGTTGTGAGGCCTGTGTACTTACCTTAGGAAGAAAACAGATCTTGGTACACTGCGTACTTCATCTTAACATCTAGCTCATAGCAATATGAGCTTTAAACTCTTATGTTTCTTCAGCTGATCTTCACCCCTGAGTGCGTGGAGGCAGAAGGCATGCGCTGGCATGAAGAGCACTTTTGCTGTCTCGAGTGTGACTTGCCCCTGGGGATCCAGCAATATGTGATGAAGGGTGGACAACCCTGCTGCTGTGCTTGCTTTGAGAGTCTTTATGCAGACATCTGTCAAGCCTGTGGAGAGATTGTTGGTAGGTCCAGAACCCTTCTGTAGTCTTGTGAAAAAAAGAAGGAACCTGCCTCAGATCATTACTCTATCTAGTTCAGTGCTGCCTATTAAGGATTGAATCTGGCATGTTCTTGCAAGCAAAGCATGTGCACAGAGTTTATGGCCCTTCCCATTTTTCAGAAGTATCAGCTTGCCTAAAGGTTACTCATTTGGGACGACGTGAGTATAAAGATATGCAAACTTAGACATCCACTGCAGAAGATGGGGGGGGGCGGGGGGCAGTGACTAAATGAACATGGTACAAAACCTGCAATTTACAGATTTGCACCGCTGTCATATGCAAGTCAATAATGCAGTTTATCTTGTGACATCACTGTGTACATGTGGTCACTTTGACATAATCTTGATTTGTGTGTGCCTGTGACTCAGGTTGCTGTGGTATATATTTTAATGACTTTGTATTTGGTGTTCATGGTGTTCACCTAAAACGTTCACCTAAAAGGAAAACCAAAGCATTTGGAGATAGAAGCAAGAAGGTTTCCCTTTTTAAATTTCCTTTTTATTGGAAATTACTTAGAGTGATCACTGGGCTCCCTGCCAGCAGACTGCAGGAGAGAGCCTGGAGTAAACCCACTCCCCAGATTATATCCGTATTGTCATTAGCATTTGAAAGCGAGAGATAAGAGAAAGATAAAAAGATTAATGCAATTACATAACACCCTTTCCTCTGGAATGCTTTGATAAGCTATTAGATTGACCTTACTGTTACTTTTCACACTTGTAGTATCCTTCCTGATATTATCAACATGTACCATAAACATCAGTGTTTAAATTGTGATCTTCTGTTACCTAACTCTAGGTGGATAAGGGCAAGCGTCTGTGTTATGTTAGCTGTCTCCATTCCAAGGCCAGATGTTAGGTTAGAAGTTTACACTGTTGCTACCAAGCTACATGAAAAGCTAAACCTACACAAAGGAAATTAACAACAAACCTTAATATGCCCTATACCACCACAATAGGTATAGTTTGTGCCTGATTTAGCAATTAGGTCAACTTCTCCCTACAATTCTTATAGCTGCAAAAGCAGAACCTGTTCCAGTTTACCACTACCAGATTGTCCACTCTGCTATTTGCAGCTCAAGGTATTTGCTTCATTTACCACTGCTAGGATCAGTTCATGTCCTTTGCAAAAGCAGTAACAATAGTAGTAGTAGTAATCTAATCACAATTACATAGATATTATAAGTATCTTAGATAATGGCATAGTTGCAATACTAAAAATGTATTTTGCTTTGCTGGATCAAATGAAAGTCTCAGTACAAGCTCAATAAATATCACTGAGGAGCTTGCAAATAGTATGATAGGTCTCAAGCATATAGTAATTTTAGACTTATTACACCTCTGAATAATATGGTTAATTGCTTATAGTGACTGCCTAAATCATAGTTTGTTAACTAGCTTTCTCTGGGTTTGACAGAGGCTGATACTGGGATTCATTCAGTGGATTTTGTGGCTGTTAGCCATGGGTTTGCGACTGGAATCCTATACTTACTGTCTGGGAAAAAGTCCCACTGAACTCTCTGGTTCTCACTTCTGAGTGGATGTATGTAAGATAGTGCTGCAGTAGGAATTTAATCTGTTTTCAAGCTTATCTGATAATATGGAATTCTGGGAGTTGTAGTTCAACAACAGCTGGAAGGCCAGAGAGGTTCCTCTCCCATTTTCTGAACCAAGGAAACTAAAAAGCAAAAGAGGAATATAGGATCAGTATCACTAATGCTGCAACATAGCTTTGTGAAGTTTGGACAAGGATCATAATGTTAAGACTTAGTTTAGTATGTGGGGCTTCTTCATGGAGTGCATCTGGATAGAAACTTCTGAATTAATATTAATCTTGTCTTTTGTTTACATATTTTTAAATTTGATTTTTATTCTATTCCCCTTTCCTCCCTCTTTTAAAAGTCTGCAACATAATAGCCAGATTGTTTTTAATAAGGGGTTAGGATATATCATAGAGTTTTCCATTAATGCTGCGGGAGGTGACATGCTTGTTGATTACTCTATTCTCACAGGAGTCAACAGTAAACAGATCATGCTCCAAGGTCAACACTGGCACAGCAAAGCCTCATGTTTCTGTTGCAGCCTTTGCCATAAAGCACTGCTGGACCAGCCAATCACCATTCACAATGGTCTCCTCTTCTGCTCTGAGGCCTGTAGCTTGGAAAAGGAATCCGCTTTGTCTTCCAGTGGCTCGGATTCCTCTGACTCTGCTTTCATCTCTGCTCCATCCCCAGACTCCACCCCGATTTCAAGAGTTAGAAACAGCAGCCCTGACTGCTCCTCTGAAATTGCAAGAACCCAAAGAGATGGCTGTGAGGAAAGGGCAGGTACAGTTGGTAAGGCTTTTCCATATCATCCTCTGGAATTATGGGTGGAACAGGTGCTATCTGATCCTGCCCAGCTGAAGATTTTCCATTATTGCATCCCTTGTGCAGTTTTGTTTAAGATTCTGTAGGCAAGATATTCTCAATACATTCCTTTGAATTGGTCAACTTCCAACCTGGTCTCTATCATTACTGCACATCTGAAGGCAATCCATGCCACTGTGCTGTAGGAAGAAGGCAGCTGACAACTATTATTTCTCTGTCTCTTCTCACTACTTGGAGAAGGCAGATGAACATGTACTAAGTAGAGGCAGGAAAATCTAGGGGGCTCTAGCTTCAAAAATAGCCAACTAATCCTTGGCTTGTTGTATTGCTTCCAATACAGACAACAGCAGCAATAAAAGTAGTAATTGTAACTTTGGATGAAAATGACCATATAATATTGGAATTCTTGAAATTAATGGAAACTAAAGCTGAGTGTAGTTGAATGCATACCTTGGACTTCAAGAAAGCAGATTTTAATGAATTCAAAACAGTAAAAAATAGGACTGCATAGCAGGAGAAACTAATTGGGAAAGATAAGTAAGAATTTCTAGAAAACACATTCTTAAAGGCACAAATTCAAATAATTCCAATGAGGAAAAAAAGGTAGATGGCAGAAAAGCCAATATGATTGCCCAAAAAGCTTAGTGAAGATCTGAAAAATTAAAAAGGACCCACACATAGGGAGGACAGATTTGTAGACATGGTTATGAGGAAACAATGAGCCTGACTGTAGTTAAAGATGTTAAGAACAGTCAAAAAGGTTTCTTCAGTTATGTTTAAAAGCAGCAGTGCACCAATTGCTCTATGACCTGGCCATTCTCATTTGAGAGTGTAGGACTTAGAATGGTCATATTAGGAGAAGACAGATTCTAGCTGAATGGTTAGAAAAAGTTAAGAGCAGTTTGAACTAGAGAGAGAAGTGGTGAGCTCCCCTGTGATACAGGCTTTCAAACAAAAGGCTTTAATTTGAATTCCTACAATGAACAGGACTTGGACTCTGTGACCTAAATGGTTCCAACTCACTGCCTATGAAATGGCTTCATAGAATAACTGGAACCTTTAGCTGAGTTATCAAATCATGCAAAGCCATAATGTTTGATTTTGACTCTGTATGATATGTAAGCCCAGCCATTGTAGTTGTTAAAGCATGATATATGGCTTAGCAGGTTATATGAACCAAGCTTTTATAGTTTATACAACAAACCAGGGAAAAAATAAACTGTAGTTTAAAGTAATGCATGAACAAGCCTATATGGAAATTCCTACCTCTTGCTAACTTACTGATATGGTTGTTGGAATATTTTCTAGGAATTATTCAGCAATCAGGATCATCCCCATTTCTTATAAGTTCTAACTTTTAATTCCTTTTGCAGTGAATGAAAGGTTTCACTCATGTGGGAATCCCTCAGTGTGTGTTAAATTTGGCAGCCAAGAAGAACCATCAGTTACTTACAGAAATAGAACGATCACCCCACAACTTCATGTATTTGAGTCATTGACTGATTCTCCTCGAGGGGACGTCCAAACCTCCATCTCTTGTCACATGGACACAGCTTGGAGCACCGTAATTGTGAGGGATAACCACAACTTGAAAACATATTTTCCAGAAACATCTCAGCAACAAGCAGGAGACTTCCACTTCAAAAGAAGACCCTCTGTGGCCTCACAGGCATCTGTATTAATCATGGATTTTCCAGATAGAATACATGAAGGCAGCACTGGAGAACAGGAAGCTACCATGGAACAAGATGATGCCAAGTGCCTTACTTGCTCATCCTCATCCTCTTCTGACTCTGAACCAGAAGGCTTCTTCTTTGGGAAGCCAATTCCAAAGCCTGGTTCCAGATGTGTAGCTTTCTCCAACATGGAGCAGGAAACACTTGGCAAAGGAATGAGGTGGGCTGCCAGAGCAAGGGCCAACAGCAAACACTGTAGCATATCCTAGCAGACAGGCAATGGCCAAACATCTGAATAGAGTAAAGCAAAAGGGGAAGAGATAGTAATGGAAGCAGATACATTTTCTGCAATGACCCTTTTGATGATAATTTAAAAAATAGATTACAATTAGTATTCAGAAGGAACTTGCTCAAAGATGGATGCACACCACCCTCTTCCTGCTGCAGAGTCAATAATGCTAAGTGCAGAAAGCAGATAAAAAAGCCAGCATCTGTTTTTATAACTTTGGATGCCATGTGGAATTATTTCTGTTGAGTCAGCACTTTTTTATTAAAACCAAACAAAGCTATAAGAAAAATCCCCAAACCCCTATTATTTGGCCCACTCAAGATTACAAAATTAGTTCTTAAATATTCTTCACCACTTAAAATGCTAAGAAAATATGCTGTCTGCTGCTCAGACTATGGTCTATATTATTTAGTTCTGATGACATGGGGAAAAAAGCTGCAGTAATTCAACTTTGGCTCTGTCAAGTACAGGGAGTATTTCAGGTTGACAGGATGATTACTCCAAGTTTGCTACCAAAGAAACTAACCACTTAATTGTCTTTCACCTGCCAAGGAACCTGTCACAGGTTTGAGCTAATCCTTGTTTTCTGTACTTGGGAAGATGTTTTTCCAAAACATTTTGCCACAGGAGTTATTTTCATGTTGACTCAGATTTCCTGTCTCAGCATTGCATACAGCCTCATTTGAATGTCTACAGCTGACTCCCACACTCCATTAAGACTGTAATTAAGTACACACTTGTGGCTGGAACATTAAGTCACTGCAACAAACACGGGCCTCCTACAGTAGTAGTTCTGGTGGTACCTTGCATACTCTATGTTATTACACTAGCTTGTATGTTCTGGGAGTTAAAACAATGAAATAAAATACAATTTATCAGATGAGATTTGAGGCTAATATCATACAGTGGAATCAGTGGGTCAACAGATACACAGGAATTGAAGCAACTAACAGTCTATAGAGATTTTAATGTCTTCAAGTCAAAGGCTAAGAGTGAGTTCAAAGAAAAGTCAGTGAGGTAAGGGGTTTGGAGGTGTGATTCACTTTGACAGAGCATACAGGGAGTTCGGCTACAGGCAGGAAAGGCAGAAAAGTAACATCAGATGTGGCATTGAGGCCTCTTGTCATAGCATTGGAGGAGAAAAGTATTAAGGGTGATTGTTACAGTAATGAAGGCACAAAGTTTACAAGGTGTAACATTCACAGACGTGCACATACACACCCATGCTGCTAAAAGGAAGGACCTTTTGCATATTACCACTTTGCTTAGGAACAATAAATAACAGAGACGGTGATGTTCTTAACTGAAAAGGAAGAGGCAGAAATGAGGAAAACAATCACCTTTCCTTTGCAAGTCTGGGCTGAGGTGTTGTCCCTGATGTGTTGGAAGCTGGTGCAGCTTCTTGGGATTAAGAGAAAAAGAGCAAGAATTGTTTTCCTCTGACTCAACTGTTGACAGCCATTTTTATACTTCTCTTGTGGAATTTACAAATTAAATCAAAACCAAATTCTCATTTCAGGCTTTGGGCAGTGGTCAGGAGTCAGAAAGAAGGAATGTTGTTTTCCTTCTCTTTTGCTAGGCTAAAGGGAGAGGAGAAAAGGAGGGTGATTCTGCAGCATAATGATTGGTGATAGACAGGATGTTTTCAGTGATTATTGTAAGAAAATGCTTTCTTGAACTGAACTTCAAACACTTGATAAACTTGAACGCAAATTACAGATAGATTCAGTCTGTTATTTCACCTTCAATATCAGAAAGTTATGTTGCTTCTGCATACTGTGGGGCAAAAATATTTAGTCAGCCACCAACTGTGCAAGTTCTCCCACTTAAAAAGATGAGGCAGGCCTGTAAT